TTGGAAAGGGAGGGCTTCACTTCTGCGCTCTCTGCCTGTTTGTGACTGTGATGCGCAGCTGATCAGTGTGTGCTACCCTGCTGTGCTGCACGGAGACGTGGAGGGAGAAAGGCATCAGAACTCGACAGAGTCTCAACATTTCCCAACCCGACCAGATATTTAGATTTTTTAGTTGTTTGACAGGGAAACCTGTGCGTAAACAGAAACACACACACGCACACATATATACATATATTCATTTATTAAAAAAAAGAAGAAAAAAAAACTCCCCAGAAAAAAGGGCACTTTCTCTCGAGGAAGAAAAAGAGCAGGTGCTCAAGCCCCCTTTGATGCCTATGTGTGCACGTGCCTGTTGCTACATGAGTGAGTGTGTGTTCTTTCTGCTAATGAGGGAATTCAGTTCCAATCGCTATTGAAAATGTGCTAGTCAAACGTGTGTAGAAGGGACAGAAAACAATTGAAATCACTTACAATAAAGCACACTGAAGTAAACAGAATTATGTTATTCGTTGTGCCGTTCGGCAGGTTCACAGAGCAGGAGGAAGAGATACTGACAGGAGTGCAAAAGGTTTTTGGTAAAGATGTGCTGAAGCATGTCATTCTCCTCTTCACATACGGAGATGAATGCATCAGAGAGAGAATACAGGCAGAGATTGATGGGAATAGGCTTGTCAGTGGAGTCGTTCAGAGCTGTCAGGGTTATCATGTCCTCAATAACAGAGATCTGACTGACAGACAGCAGGTGACTGATCTATTGCAGAAGATTGACACAATGACAGAGTGGAATCAAGGCTACTACACTAATGAGATGTATGAATGGGCTCAAATGTGGCCATGGGAAAAATTCTGGGAAATGCTTAAGAACTTTTTTAATGCAGTGATTGCACTTTTCCTGAACCCGTCTAAAAATTCCGATAACAGCTGTTGGAGATTGGCGCCATATGAGACTCTAAAAAACTAAGAATTATTTTTTTTGCTCTTGATTTATTTTATAAAACATGGTTAAATATAACCTAAATATAGGTGACAGCCCACTCTGCTTATGAGGAAAAATTATGTATCAGAGCAAAATGAGAAATTAATGAACTGATGTAACTGAACACGTCTCTGTGTGTGAGTTGAAAGGTTTATTATTTTTTAGCTACATTGGTTTGAAAGGATGGCTGTTAAATGTTAAAACAGATCATATATGTTTATCAAACTGTATGGTATACAAGATACTACTTTATCTTTACACGTTTCATTCATTAAAAACAGTCTTATGTAAATAAGATCCTTTCTGAACTATGAATACAAAAAATAATTATAATAATAATACAGCAGACATTTCATGCCTTAATGCATATTCAGCAGGCACCTATTAACAGCATTTTCCTGCTCATTTACATTATGCACAATATATCTCAACAGTTTAAGTTTTGCCTATTAAACATTTTTATATAACTTTTCTGTAAGAAACATTTTACTAAATATTCTGAAAATGTCAAAACTTTGTCAAAATGTTACAGAAGATCCTCTGCTATGTTACTTTACTTTTGTACTCTTATGCTTAGTGGTTTTTATACTTTTATATAAAATATAAGTTACAGTACATGTAATTTTCGTACATGTACTGATGTGTTTATGGAATTCATTATGCCTATTCAAATCTGACAGATACTGATAAATGTATAACATCTACTTAATAATAAACTCTGACAAGGCCTCATTGTCATGTCACTTTATCTGAACCTGTTTATTTATTTTATAGAAAAAAAAATGTAATTCAGAAATTGCTAGTAAATTTCACAAACTATTACAAAGAAATGACAAGTAACAGTGAAATGTAGCTGCAAGCAGCAATTGCGGAGCCAAGCACAATAAAGGCAAAATGAGGAGCTAAGCGTGGCATGGAGCATCAGTCCAACTGCAACAATGAGTAATTAAAGCCATTTTAAGATGATTTTAGTCAAAATGGCTGAAAAAAACATAAATATGATTTCATGGTTTATCACTTTTGACCAATAGGTGTCGCTGTTAGCAATTTGATGTGGTGTGGTCAGTGTTGCCAACTTAGCAATTTTGTTGCTAAATTTAGCAAC